TTATTACAATATTATGTTAATAATAATTAAAAATGAAATAAATACAATTTCAAACGTTAAAAAACGAAGATGTTATGTAAACATATTATATAATATAAGTTTTATAGTTAATTTAATTGTTTTTTATCATAAATTTCGATTGTTTTTTTAAATAGTGAATTTGCAACTAATGTCAAAGTTTAACGAGAATATATGCTGCAGTTTGTAAATATTACAAAGAAATCGTACCCTATAAATTACTTCTGAATTCATGTTCTGTTTCAGGAATATATTATAATATAGAAATCAGAAAGGAAGATAATCGCTTGAACATATTTTTATGTAAAAAAACCCCGACGGTAATAATTGCATAAGCTAAAACATTTAAATGAGCCAAAAGTTTCACAATTATTTTTATACTTAAGATGTAAGACGTTACTTAGGCAGAATACTGGAATACCAAAAAATCAATCAATATGAATATAATGAATAATTGATCCGCCTAATAATTATTCATAAGTGGTTTTTAGACGCCTAAACTATCGACATCGTTATACGCACCATTGACACTGTAATTTTAGTATGTATTAAATGTTTGTTTGAACTGTTACAAAGTGAGGTAAAAGAGTTCCAAGTTAATTAATGAATTCTAATAAAATTTAAAGTAAAGAAAAGTAAAAAATCATTTAATCACATAGGTAACATAATGTACACTTATGACTCGTCAGTAAAGCAATACATATCGATGCTTCTAATTTTACATTTACTGCCTGTTCTCAAATCAAGGGCGTAGAACAGGAGAGAAGAACTGGCAATAAACTCTCCGCCACTCTTTTTAATCGCCATTTTTTTTAGTTCGCAGGCTGTACGGAGCGGCCTCACTGCTCCGAGGATTTCTGCTCGTTAGGAAGCCACTATATATACTATTTCCAAACAAGTATTGAATTGATTTATTTGAAGGGAATATTAAATCCCTTAAGTTGAAACAAGGGACAATAATATGGACAATAAAATTGTATGGTATTGTTGATTACTTCCGCATAGGCAAATTTAAATAAAAAAACCTTAGGTACATTTGAAGCATTTATTTTAAAATTGTATGCACTTTTCCTAAATTCTCGGTTTACTCCTCGTCCGTGAGTTTTTAAACCTGGAAATAGAGATATATTATTGTCTATACTTTATAAAAATATATGTGAACAAAACAATGCAATAATGAGAACAGCCAACAGCCTCAACCGCACACGTGCAAATTCATACGTAATAACATTTACGGCCAATATTCTGACAAATTTCAGCTAATCTGATAAAAAAATCACTATTTCAATAATGAATTGGAAATTGATTCACAAATTTGTCAAGATATTGGAGTAATCAACAGCATATACGTTAAATAAATAGGGAAAATGAAGAGTTTACATTAACTGGAAATTAAAAGTAATTTAAATTTTGAATAAATAATTTTATAAAATCCTTTAGGGCCTTGTTAGTTTTTGGTAAATTAAACAAAGATGCAATTGATGGAGTACCGTCTATATATGACTCGTATTAGACATGGCAGTACCTAATTGCAAAATACTCCATTAAAAAGAATATTTTTTCCTGATTTCAAATAAAATAAGAAGGAATGGTCAGCATAAAACCTCTTAACGCGATAGGAAATTATTGCCGAATGAAATTCAATATTTAATTCTGGAACAAAATTTAAATTTAGTTATAGGATACACACAAACGTGGGAACAGCTGGGAGATAGTTATACTTGGAAATAGGGAGAGAGATATATATAGCTATTACTTAAGAAATAAAGAAATAAATGCATTTGAAAATATAATAGAAAAATGAAGACCAATCACCATTCATACATGCATACCCAAGAAGTTTGAATTTCCAAGCAAGTTGCTTGGAAAATGTGTAATATGTATTAGATAATCTCGTAATTTTATTTTGTAATACACAAAGATTTAAAAACGAAAATAGAATGAATATTGATTAAATTAAACACTTATATTAGACATAATTGTATTCAGACTGACCTAATTGAAAAATGCTCCATTAAAAATAATATTTTCTCCCGTTTTCAAATAAAATAGGAAGGAATGGTCAGCGTAAAATCTCTGAGTGGGAAAGGAAACTACTGCCGAAAGTAAAGCAATTCCGAATTCTGGAACAAAAATACATACAAATTGAGTAGGAAGAAACTTCAAGGGATATTTAGCGTTACTGTTATTTCCATATGTATATAGGATACAAGAGTTATAATAAGTGTTAAGTCAAGACTTCAGACAGCTAGGATATTAAATATGGAAGGTAATTCCACTTTTATACGCGTCTTTATATGTAACAGTACGTATAGATTAACTACTTGTTAATATTAAAATGTTGATGTGGTCGGAAATAATTTCGCAGGATCGCGAATTTGAAGTATGTGATAGTTTTGGCTATTAGTACACATTAACATTACCCACATGCCAATGAAAAAAATTCTTAACTCCTAAAATACCTAAGCGTGGTAAGCTCCGTTGAAAAGAGTTATCTTTCTATTTATCAAATAAAAGAGGAATGGGTGATCAGCGAAAAATTGTATCGGAGGAACAATGGGTATAAAGCCGATACGGTCAGCTGAAAATTCTGAAAAGAAATACATATATATAACAATAACGGCAGTAAATTTTGTTTGGAAAATTTGTGTAACAAACTATTCTTAAATATATATTCTATTAATAATTTATTCTTATTAATAGTAACAAATATTTACTAGATGTATGTATTATTGTGAGAATGGAATTACACCTTCAAAGACTCCCATGACCATGCATGAATACGAAACGTTGGAATTTTCATGCCTTTATGAGCATTCCATGGTATTTCACAAGGCATATTTTTTGTCTGCATATAACATATATATGTTAAACCAATATTTTCTTTTGTCTACTGTTAAATCGTAGTAAACCATTTGTGAATTAAAAATGGAAGTTAATGTTATTTGAACTGACGAGAAGACAAAAAAAATTAAAATACCTAATCGAAGTACACGCCGTTAAAAAGAATAATTTCATTATTCATTAAATAATATACGAATGGGTGATCGGCAAAAAAAATCCTCCGAGGAAATATCATCTTCATTTTTCGATACAGGCCAAAAACTGGAATATTATGTTAATAATAATTAAAAATTAAATAAATATAATTTCAAACGTTAAAAAACGAAGATTTTATATATTCATATTATATAATATAAATTTTCTAATTTATTTAATTGTTTTTTATCATAATTTTTAATTGTTTAATTTGGGAAGCAATTATTTTAAATAGTCAACTTGAAATTAATGTCAAAGTTTAACTTGAATATATGCCGCAGTTTCTAAATATAACAAAGAAATCCTGACCTATAATTTACTTCTGAATTCATGTTCCGTTTCAGGCATATATATTATAATATAGTAATTAGAAAGGAAGATAATCGCTTGAACATAATTTTATATAATAAAACTCCAACGGTAATAATTGCATAAGCTAAAATATTTAAATGAGCCAAAAGTTTCACAATTATTTTTATACCTAAGACGTTACTTACGCCGAATACTGAAATACCAAAAAAATCTAACAATATGTATAAAAATGAAATGAAGGAATGTAATCTATTTTTAATAAACTATTCTTCTATTACTTAATAATTAATGCGCTTCCAATTATTCGTAAGTGGTTTATAGACGCCTAAAGTATTGACATCGTAATATGCACATTTAACAAAAGTATTTATTAAATGTTTGTGCTAAAAAATTGTTACAAAGCGAGGTAAGAGACTTCCAAGTTAATTAATGAATTCAAATAAAGTTTAAAAGTGAAAAGGTCCGATATTTTTGTTATTTAAGCAGCTGATAGCTGGAGGCAATTGATGATAGAAATGTGTGTGCACCTTGAATTTGTATACCTAAGCAAAGTAAACACCATTAAAAATTGTAGTCTCTCCTGATCGTAGGTAAAATAAGAAGGGGTGGTTGGCAGTGAATAGTGGCGCTTCTGACTCTGCGATATACAGTACAAGAATCCCTGCAATGCGTATTTTATATATATATATATATATATATATATATATATATATATATATAGTAGTTTAAATGATAACTTGTTACAAAAATCACATTACCACTAAGTCACTGTGTATTAAATTGATCGATAAAATAAAATGTGTGTAAAGTGCCTTGTCATTCTAATGAATGTTTAAATGTTTTTAACTCTTGTTAGTAAATAATTTCGTTACATTTATATTTTCCAATCTATATTCAATGTTTCTGTGTATTAATTACCACAAAGCAATGAAGTACGCACACCAACGTTAGAAAAATTAAGAAGCATTTTTAAAACAATTTGGCTTCCAGATAAAGCGAGAGAAGAGAAAATAGTACACAAGAATAGAAGACACCATTAAAGAGAGTGCTATGATTAACTCTTAAGAAGAATAGAAAAGGCGAGTCAGCGAAAAATCTTTCTGTAGGTACATACGACAAGAAGTGTCGGAAGCCTGAAATTAAAACAAAAAAATACGTACCTTTTAAATTTAGGTTTAATGAGTATAATATAAAAAAACATGTTTTTAAGACATTTAATTGTAATTTGTTCAATGTTGAAATTAAAAATATAAATGATATCGAAGCGAGTTTTGACAATTATGAACAAAGTTTAGCAAACTGCCAAAGCTTTAGTTTTTTCGGTCGATAACAATTTTAATTTCACATTTGAGTACTGACGTGCGATTCTGTAAATCACTTTTCGAACTCTCACAGCGGTTTTAGCAGCGGCGGTCGCGCTCAAATCAGTCGTGAAGCAGTCATTTTACGATTTGGCATTATGATAAGGAGGGAGCTTGTAGTTTATTGTTTATCAGAATGCCAAATCGTAAAATGACTGCTTCACGACTGATTTGAGCGCGACCGCCGCTGCTAAAACCGCCGCTGTGAGAGTTCGAAAAGTGAGTTACAGAATCGCAAGGCTGTATTGAATTCGAAATTTTAAATTAGATTCATTCAAATTTGACTCCACTGAAGATGGGAGTTGATTCGGTTCTTATTTCAAAATAAAACGGTCTGTCAGCCACGAAGAATTTTGCTTGTGGTTCATCTAAAATAAGGCTGGTAGCGACCGGTAGAAATGCTGAAAAACAAATGAAAGATATGAAAAAATGTGTATCTACTGCAAATATAATGAATGCTATGGCAAATGGGTTAGCAAGGGATGCACTGGAGACGTTTTTTTTTCTTCCTATAAAGCATAAGAAAAATACGTAAATAAAGTTACAACATTACACACATACAACATAATTCATGCATCTGTGTTTACATCTAAGAGACTCCACATTAACAAGTCAGAGGTTATGAATGTGTGTGTATGTATATGAATATACCAATTTACCGTAAAGTAAATCATAGGCTAATTCAAGCTATGAGCAGTGATGGCCTAGTGGCTTCAGCGTGCGACTCTCATACCTGAGGTCGTAGGTTCGATCCCCGGCTGTGCACCAATGGACTTTATTTCTATGTGCGCATTTAACATTTGCTCGAACGGTGAAGGAAAACATCGTGAGGAAACGACATGTCTTTGACCCAAAATTCGACGGCGTGTGTCAGGCACTGGAGGCTGATCACCTACTTGCTGTTTAGATTTGAAAATGATCATTTAACAGATTCAGAAATCTGAGGCCAAGACCTAAAGAGGTTGTAGCGCCATCAGCGTACATCAGTATGTACCTATGTTTATTTTTTTAATTCAAGCTATAAGCTTAGTATTTAAAAATGAATCCCTTTTTCTGGTGATGCCATTTAAACTAACATTTTTGGTTACTTTGTAAAAGATTTTTATGGCAAGAAAAGTTAACGATGATTTAATCTATTCTTGACAAGATAACAAAAAGATATAAACAATATTTAATTAAAATTATTTATTTCATTTTTATTTGCAAAGACATCGCTAGAATGTGACAAAACGAGAATTAAAAAGGTGTTTTAGTAAAACACATTATTTCAGTAAAATAAAGTTTTGACTTATTGAAATTTGTTGTAAAGTTTTAACTCAAAACATTATTAAAATAAAAACAAAGCTGCCAATTAATTTGTATTGCTTAAGACAATTCCATTACATTGTATGATACTGTTGAAATTATAATTTTTTGTGTGTGATTATTTTTTTACACCACTGAATAGAGTAACTGTGTTGAGTTTGATCTCAAAATAAAATGGTCTATCAGCGAAAAATATCTTTGGTTCTGCATCAGCAACAAAACTTTCAGCGACTACTATAAATTCTGAAATATAAATAAAATTTAATTCGTATTTTGTTTCCACAAGAGTTAAAGTGGCTTTCTAAACTACACGATTACTGTATAATGCATGTTTAAAAAAATCGTATACCGTGAAGGCAAATGTTTTCTAGGGATGTATTTTAGACTAACTTATAGTTAGTACTGTATATGTGTTAAGCTTGTGTTTGTCTTAAGTATTTTCAAGGAAATCGCCGTTAGTTTAGTGTCATAACTGTGTCTCATGGCGTAGTCTTGCTCTTTCGTGAATTTTGTAAACGTTGTTGACTTTCATAAGCATGCTCTAAGAAGCATCTAAATTGAATAAACGTATTTTGATTTTGATTTTGAAACTGCGGGCGGGGAATCTTCATAGAAGATACATTGTTAATATACATATTTTGGTCTTAAAGAAACCCATTTAATGCAAAAAATAGTTTATTAAATACAAGTCAAGTTCAATATTATTCAGCTTTAACACCGTTAAAAATGGGTAAATTGTTTAGTCTTATTTCAAAGTAAAATGGTCTATCAGCAAAGAAGGTCTTTGACGATTCGGGTATAAAACTGGATGCGTAGCTAACACCGAAAGCTGAAAAAAAACCTTAGAATTATAATAAAAAAAATTAGAAAATTATCGAATAGTTATTCAAAGAATGTTGTGTAATATATAAGTCAAGGCCAGTGACATCCACATAAACATATTTACTGTAATAAAAAGTAACTGTCATATTTTTTTTTGTGTTACATGAGGCAAACGAGCAGTTGAGCAACTGATACAGCTCATAGACCGTTGCCCGTGGGCTCGCAAGTGCGTTGCCGGTCTTTTAGGTTACATAAGAAAAATGTAACCCAGGCTACTAATATAGTGAGAATTGTATTTCAGGAGCCTGTGACTACCCAGTACATGAAACTTCATTATAATAATTTAAATTTAAAAAATGTATACCATATTCCATAAACAATAACTTTTTATAAACAGACGTTCTATAGTAAGGCAGACATTTTGTGCTTTTGTTTCTGTGCAAAGAGCAAATTAGACTCCGTCGCAATATGTAATATATAATTTAATAATATAATAAAAATATATTCTTTTATCATATAAATTTTCTGTATTAAATTATTTAATATGACGACTTATGTGGTTTAAAATGTGAGCCCTATGGTTGGTATTTGGCAAAATCCCAACTTGAAACTTTTAGTCTTTTAATGAATATTTAAACATTATTTGTTTCGCATTCATGCCAAATATAGTTTTAATTTTAATTAAAAAAATTCCACTAGTCCTATATATTTTATTTATATATTCACGCCTTTCTCGAAGGGGTAGGCAGATCGGATATGCACTTGCTACGGTCCTCTCGCTTCAAGTCTCGCTTAAGTCGAATTCGTTCGGAAATACTTAAGTGAAACGCTCAGTTGTAAAAAAAACCTATCAGTGTTATTAAGACACTTTCGCCAAGAGAGTCCAAAGTCTATTATCAGCGACAGCGATATCTCGACGATTTTGTTTACAACTTCGATCTAGTTCTCTCAATATCCGTAGCGCTGTTGCAATCTTGGGATCACGCGGTACATAAACTTAAAAGTTCGACTAGATTAGACTAATTTATCACTAGAAGTTAAGCAGGGGTCCATAGATGATCCTTGAAAACTCGTCAATATTGATTGATGTGTAAACGCGGCAGAAATAAATATTTAAAAATCTATTTTCTGTGATCCATCAATATCTGTCAATATTTCTTGACTGTTTGTGCGTGTTGATTTGGATGAACACTCAGAGTAAGACGTTGGATCACTGTTTTTAAAATAATCCTATGTAATGTATTTTTTGTTTTTATGCTTAATATAATGTTTGTTTGAATGAACATACCTTAATATAGCATTAGGGTAAGTTATAGTTTGGTCTGTATTATAGCAATACACCTTACTTTTAACGTCCATTATTACGAAACACTACTCCGAAGATTGATCTTCTAACTATTGACGATATTGAAGTCAATATCTATTGAAAGTAGAGTACCACCAGTTGATTCAATAAATATTGAGACAGGTATTGTGATATTGGATCACGATATTTATTGACCGTCGGACCCCTGCCAGCAGGCTCTATTTTAACTAATCAGTCACAGTCCTTTGTCGCACTTGTTTTTTGTTCCTTACAATCCTTTGTTCTCAGTGAGCATACTCACTAACCGATTTAAGTCAAAATTGAGTTAGAATTATATTTAATTGTCATATTGAATTATATCGTGACTTACCGTTGGCTGCTGCAGCTTCTGCGCCTTCCTCATTGACTTCAATGAAAGCCTTCTGTATGGCTTCACTTATCACTAAGTCACCCTCTCCCTTGATCAGATTAGTTAAACGGGCTTGTCCGGGTGTAAATAGTTTCGTAACGTCCATCTGAAGAAATATTCAATTCTAAATTGGATTCTTATAATTGCCCACAAAAATGTAAGAAGAATAAGAGTTATAATGAAGTAATAATTTAAAACAAAGGTTTTGTGGAAAGGACCAAGGGGAAAAAGAAGAGGGCACCCAAAAAGAAAGGTGGATAGAAGATATGGAAGCTTTAGTAGGAAGCGAAAGGAGAAAGAATGCAATGGACAGAGATAGTTGGAAAAAGCTGGTGGAGGCCTTTACACGTGAAGGAGTTCCGTTCAATGGTACAGAAGGAAGTGAGGATATTAAGATAACATGAAAAAGAAAATGGATATAACAAATCTAAACTGTATATTTTCAAAGATAATAAAGAGCCTTTATTATGTTCTTCAACATAAAAAATATCAGAAATTAATAACTTACCTTTGATAAAACATCTTTAAGGTCTGTTGTAGTTTCAATTTTGAACTTAGGAATAGTAACTTCGACTTCAGTGGAGTACATGTTAGAAATGGCTTTGTTGAGTGCAGATGGGTCTCGTAATTTCTCCTCTAGCTGGGTTATTCCATCGATTTCATTGGGGAGCACCAGTATCATGGATGCTTCATCACCTTCATAGAACATTTGGAGGATCTGTAAAATATGTTTACTATCTGTTAAGTATATAAAAGATCCATGAATTTCGATGTTCGTACATGTGAATAAAATAAAAAATATAAATTGCCTGTAATCGAGTACTTAATAATCAGGATTATAATAAGTCCATGTCATTATGTTTAACTATATAAAGCTCGACCTCCTACGGAATGAAGGTCTCCTCCAAATTCTCTCTTATCCTCGCCATTATTTTCCAATCCTTCTCCGCTATCCCTTGTACCATTACCATTACCTTGTACCATTACCTTGGTTATTTGAACCAAGTGCTAACGGTATCTGCAAACTACAAGAGTTATTATTAAACTTACCTTAGCGTTTAATTCTGGAAGCTCAGCGTAGTTGAATTCAGATTTTTGGTACATCATCGGAATTGTTGCTGATTTCTCTTTTGTAATATGGAACACCTGGTCGTATGTTGCGTATGTGCTGAACGGACTCTTCCAGAGACCCTACATAACATTACATAAATAATGCAAAACAATTTGATAAGACATTCAATTAAATACATATTTATTTACATGTACCTAGGTTTTATGAAGCAGCTTGGAACGAATACTTTTAAATAGAATATTGATGACAGTATTGTCTCCTTGAAAACTTAAATGTTGAATTTATAACTTAAACATATTATTTTATTTCTGTTGTAGCTTAGTATTTAATTGTGACAAAATATTTTATTAATATTACGGTTATAAATGTGAAATAAAATAATATTTGGGGATCAAATGCACAGGCGCTAATTAAAGACTTAAGATAGTACCGGTGACCCCAGAGCATTAATAGCATATCGCAATACAGCGAGGAAATGCTGCCAGCGTTAAAGGTCTACTGCCACAGGGACTAAACTTTTTTAAATTTGTTTTGATTTTCAAGAAGCAGATTTGAAAGCGTATTTTGTAAGATCCAAGGGTTAAGCCACAGTTGAGATTTAGTGTTAATCTCGTATGTCAAATACATATTGCATTTGTCATAAAGAAGTCATCGAAGTCTCGAAGCGTACAGACGGCGGGAAACGATTGTGTATGGTCTAATAAAACTGATTAAAAATGACCCGATGAACATTTTCAGTTCACTCCATGGAGACCCATGCGACTTCTTCAATACAAAGAGTCCTGTCGTGAGTTGTGTGCTGAGATATCGCGGGCTACTCGATTGTGAGGAAGTTGCATGGATCTGATTAGCGCCTTCTTAAGTTCTCATGTCATTTTCACACATGTATATCTTTTCTATATCATATAACCATAAGTCAATTGTCCTCTTTGTAAAATTAAAATTAAATTTAGAAGTAAGTTAATGTTATTTTACCTTAAAGTAGATAGCGTTGACTAGAACAGCACGAGTATTGCCATCCAAGGAATCCGGGTTAACGAGATCTTTGATTTTTTTATTCGTTTGGTCTTCAACCTGTAATTAATTAATGTGTTAACCCAATTGCTACTTGTTAATTTTTTTATGAAATTCGCAAAGAGATAAACATTTATAAAAATCTGACTATATGTTCTGGCAGAAAAATCAACTATCTAACCACTTCAGCTGCCAAATCTGTATAGAAAATCTACGAGAGACAGAGAGAGAGAGACACTACAATTCTGAACAAAAATTAATGAAAAACCCGTATTAAAAGATGTTTCTAAGCTAAACACAAAATTTTATTAAACCAGACTATATACCCTGGCAGAAAAATCAACAGCTGCGAAGGCTGTAAGAAAATTCATAAATACCGTTTTGCCTCAAACATATGAAGTTCTTGTCTCAATTTGTTTAGTGAAATAGATTAGATTAAAATTAAATAAATTTATTCTTACAATGATTTAAATTGATGTCTGATGAATGACAATTTTCAATTATGAAATTATTGTATTACCCAAGCGTTGATTTCGCTAGCGGTCTTCTGTGCTTGAGTAAAGTCTACATTTTTGACTTCGGAATTGAACACGTCACGGGTGGTCGTTGCAAAGTTTTCATTTAGTTCATAGTTGGGCGCGATGTAAATTTTACTCGCTGTTTTAAGTTCCACTCCTTTCACGGATTTGAGGCTTCTTTCGGCATGTGAAAACACAGCTTTTGTCTGAAACATAAACATTTATAAAAAACTTTTGAGATGATGCATTAAATTATATCTTATAATAATGATGTGAATTTCGGTACATTTAAATGCTTGTTTAGTTAATTATATAAGGAAGCATAGGCCGTGAAATACCTTTTTGGGTTCCAGATTTCTCTGGAACTTAAATGTTAAATGACTTTATCGGTTTATGACTAACGGCTGCAAGTACAGCACTACAGCAAGTATTGAATTTGTCTTACAACAAAATTAATAGCTATAAATAGATAGGTCATCTAAGTCAGGTCAACTAACAATACTATATACATATATCGTATATCAGCATTGTTAAGCGATTGTGTATTTTAAATAAAAAAAATATTAGTAATAAATAAAATTAGAAAAGTTATATTTTTTTATTTTATAAAATTTATGTTCACTTAGTCATGTATTTTAGAATTGATTGTTACTTATACTATAGAAAATGCATTATATATGTGATGTACTTTAATAAATATACTTTTAAAGTGGACTCAAATAAATTATACTTAAAAGTAACTTGAATCCCTCGAATAGCCTTCACTTACCACATTGTCGTTGGGCATGCCAATGGCCTTCAAAAGTTCGTCGTGCGATTCACCCTCAGAGGCCAAGGCGAGCTGGGCCAATGGGGTCAGGACAGAGTATGCTGACAGCACAACACTCTGTTGTGGCTTCTGCTTCACTATTTCCTGTAAAGAACGTATTTAGTATTTTAATTAACTGCAAAGCAATCGTTATTTCATTATTTACATTTCTCGACGCTTCGAGTGCTTATAGTTATGGTCAGTGGTTTAAGAAGTTTTATTTTATTTATTTATGATGTAATAGTAGGCAAACGGGCAGGAGGCCCACCTGGTGTTAAGTGACGCCGCCGCCCAAGGATATATATTTTTAATAATAAATATAAGGCTACTTTAAAATATTCATATTCGATTTGAATTATTACTTCAATTATGAACTTTAAACATTGAAAGACGAGCTCGGTTGAGCCTGTTATTTTCTAAGGGGAGATTATTGTCTGTTTTATTTTTCTTTTGTGTCTAGTCTAGAATAGACAGGTAAAATCTTGGGGGAACACATAACTCCCCTATATACGCCTATGCACTAGTTGACTACTACATATAATTAAATTTTAAGATTGCACGACATGTTTTCTATTTGCGGTACGTCTGCGGTCTACACCTTTCCATTATCTTAAAAATTCAAAACAAGCTTTTATTGCTACACGTAATACTAATTATTTCGCTGTAAATCAAATCATGGACTTCTCGGTCAAGTTTTGAATTAAAAAATATATTTAATTACAAAATACATCCAAATTTTTGATCATTCTTTTTTAATAATAAGACGAAGTCGATGTTAGGGTCCTACTTTTATATATTGGAATCTTAGAAATACCGAGTTCCTCACGATGTTTAACTTCATAGACTGGGTTTGAACGCAGAAGCTCTGGGTTGACAGTTGTGAATCACTAAGCCAACACTGCAACTAATCTAATAGTAAAACATATAACATATTGTAATACATAAAAATGATTACCGTCCTCGCAGAAGATATATAATTCATTCGCTGCTATGGCTAGTTTTAATTACGAAACCGATACAGGAAAATTGCAAGGACATGTTGCCATAGGAGTTAATTGAATTTAAAAATACATCACTGACATCATAGATAGACTTTAATGCTAGAATGAGGTACGAAATAAAAAAGTCTAGCATTAGCTAAATAAGTTAATAATAAATAAAAAAAATGTGTTTATTCATTATAACAATGCATTACAATGTGTAAGATTTGGAAACCCATTTAAGTAAAAAATAACTTTGTCCGGGTTTTCATAAGAAACAATACTTAATTCCATTTCTCCCAATTTTTTTAACAAAAAGCAGTGATTGTGTTGGTAAAAAGTTGTAATATTATTGTTAAGATTAACAGGTTTTTCCACATTTTTCTAATATTTACTACTATAAGAATCATTTAGAGTATAATATGTCCAAGGCTGTACATTTCGATCACACAGGCTTTCTTAGTTTTATAAGCGTGGCGATTTCCTAAATCGTCGGAGTTACGCCCCGAGAGTATAGTCAGACGTAGGCACTCTCTTGGACTGTTACATTGCATTCATTCGTTACATAGCAATTAACATTTCATTATTTCGCTTATATGAACGATAGACGTTGTACGCGAGTGGTTAATAGAGTAAATAAAATGCTCTATTATTTAAAGCACCCCGATGAGGCAGGATCGAAATATTAATAGCTTCATATAATTGTTAAATTCATGATATTACAGTAGAAAAGCAAAATAATCAATTACACAGAGGTAGGAATTTAAAAACCCATAAATGTTATCGGAATTATGCATTTTACTCATTGTATTGGTGATTTGACTGGAAAATGTATGCTAATTTACAAGTAGAAATTTATAAGCATTCACTAGCAATTTATTTTTTATAATATTTTCTTAGAGCTCAGTAGTTTTTATGTTTATTTAACGGAATAAACACCATTTATCCAGAGCTTGACATATTCGATAGCTGATCAATTTAAAAAAATATTTTTATTTTTTGTAACATTTATTTTTACCATAATTGTCATATATAGAAAATATAGCTTGTCACATATACTGTAGATATAGCATCATATATGATGTGGCGTATTTTAATAAATCAAAAAATACAAACATAAATACATAATTTGCTTTTGTAATAAATGATAATAAAATACTCACAGAAAACATTCTCGATGTAAACGCATCATTTCCATTTCTGAGGTCTCTTGATAGGTCCTCGGCCATCGTGATGACGGCCACAGAAAACACTGAAAAATATTAGCGAATTTTAACACTCGTAATTTTGTTAATTTTAATTTTTGATAACACAGGTCCACTAGTAAATTTAACTAAAAAGCTTTGTTAGAAATTAAATATTAAAAAGGAGCGTTAATCTTAATATAACGTCAATTAGACAGTTGAAGCAAGTTTATTAATATCATAACGCTGTTGGCTCAATAATATTTTGCTTTTTTATCGTTTCGCTTTACTGAGCTCACTAATTCGTATCAACTTGGTATAATTTGACTAAACAGAAATGGTTCAGCAAATCTATTTGACGTTTCTTATTAACCTAATAAATAAACCTTTATATATAAACCTACGCCTTTTTATTTTATTTAAGAGTTTATTGATAATATTTTTTAATTTAAAAATATAGCCAAATCGGATTACAATATATAGAAACATTAAATACTAACAAAGACAATTTATTAATTATTTATTGTATATATAATGTGTGCCTGCGTTTTTATGTGATCTTAAAAATTTCGATTTGCGGATCTCCTCGAAACACTCTTTCTCTTTCATTACAACATGAACATCATTAATGGTTTGGTTAAAATAGTCTTGTTTCCTTTTTATTATTATTGCTATTATAAATAAACTAGAAGTACAGAAGCAGTACTTCCTAACAAAAAGCTCAAGAGTTTAAAAATAATACTACAAAAAAGCGGTTTAACGCTTCAATGGCTAATTAATTCAGGGTGTTGAACATATAACACATGACATTGTGCTTCCAGGAGTCATATAGCGGATCTTCAAAGAGGTTAAGAAACCTTCTTGTGTAATAAATATAAAAAACTCATAATTTTTTTTATTTAATTACTTATTCACACAAAAAAAAATTATGGGGCGGGCTCAAAGTCAAAGTCAAATCATTTATTTCAATTAGACCACCTAAAATGGCACCTTTGAACGTCAAATAAAATATAAAGAAGATTCTAGTTGCCCCTCCCAAAATTTAGTTTTATGTTGAGAAGAATGGGCAAGAAACTCCACACTTACTCTTTTAAAATAGGTTTACAATATTTTGTTTACATTAGTTAAATAATTATATGTGAAGGAAAAAATACTCTTAGAATAAAAATACTATACTAAAAAAGTTAGTATACATGTTCCTCACATATTTACAAATGGCTTGTCGCTAGCAAACGATCTCTTGCAGGCAACCCTAGTAAGGGAAAAGCTAAAAAAGAAATATGCTGGGTAAAGCGCAAGAAGTGCGTAACAAAATCTTATAAAAAAATTAAGAAACTTTAATCTAAAATAATATAAAAAAAATTAATAAAATAAACTAAAAAGCTAATCTCGCGGATTCATGAAATCTCTATTTGATTCTATAATTTCAATGAATAAAACTAGTATATTTCGCATCAAATTTGCTTAGTTAACTATGTATATATAACGATAACATATGTTTTTCAGTTATTTTTAGGTTTCCCTTATAGTGTGTTACTCTTAGAGAATAAATCCATTAGAACGCATCCTTTGGGTCTTTGAAAAATCTTGTACATATGTACTATATTCATAAAAACGTTTTTATATCTACTTTTTGTAAATTACTAATAAATGTTTCTCCGTTAAAATCTCTAACACTAATAATAATAATCTCTAAAAATAATCTATAATTAAATTTTTTGTTATCAATCGATTATAGATTTACAAAAAATGAACACGGCAGCAAAAAACAAAACGTTATTTCAGCAATTAATCTCTAAAAAACTAGTTTAAATATCACCGTCTAGGTTTTTTGTGGTTGCCAAGGCTATAGATTGATTATCATTACGTCATTGTAACATACATGAAACTTTACATCGTGATCAAATGACCGTATACATTGCTGGTATCATGTTATCGTTTAAGAGAATTGATTTAAGAAACGGCAAATGCAAAACAAATTTTTAGCAGGACACAAAAATAATAGTATAAGATCCCGATATACAACGACCTTCACCGAGATGCCTATTTAATGAAACGTATTTTATATTTAATTTAATATGTCAATAAACATAATCTATATGGGTTGCCTAGCAAATTTCAATCCAGAGTATGTTTAATTAATATTTTTAAAAAAATCTTTTTTTTATAATTTGCATGTAGTAAATTTTTTAATTTTTTTCAATCAATATTTTTAATCAGGGTAGTATTATATATGTATCACTATAACTTTATTTTTTACTAAAGATGTATATATACTTTAGTGTCACATTAAAAATATACACATAAATAATTAATTGATTAAAAACAACCTAACGTTTGCATATTCTATGGGCTTCATACTTTCGATTGGTATAGAATTTATCTAATAATCATACCGGTGAAATGTTTAAAAAAATTTTTTTTTTTTAATATTAATTAAAATACTCTGGACTGAAATTTGCTAGGCAACCCACATGGATTATATTTATTGTCATATTAAATAAAATATAAAATACGTTTAATTAAATAAGCATCTCGGTGAAGGTCGTTGTATATCGGGATCTTAGACCATAACAATCACCTATATTTTTGTCTAATTTTAAACTTCCTTCTTCGGGTATTTTAAAGTACTCTGTCCTTGTTTATCTCAATATTAATACCGTATGCCAGATCGAGACGAAAGAGTGAAAAAGACTGATAGAACAGCTAGAGGAAACAAAACAAACGGGGTTTCAACACATAACCTTGAGCCTTTGTACGCGAAGCATTTGTTTACCTTACATATTTTTTTGAATATATTAATTATTTTATCTAGAAGCTATCGCACTATACTAGTGTTTCCCAGTGTGAGCCCCACAGGGGGACAAATTGATTGTTAAAAATGGCAATCGAAATCAGCTGGATAAAACACAACGTGGAGACTTGAGACTGAAGCTAACCAAATTGGAACCCAATATAAAATCTCTGTGCACGGATTTGAATTTCATTATGTTTTGAAAATTAACTTATTGTTTCGTTAACAATTTCCTAGTGATTTCTTCTTAAAACCTATCATTTAAATTTCTTAAGTGAACAATTAAATATAATAATATATAAATTATGTATGTTACATTGGGGGGCATAAGAATTTTAGTTTGGCTAAGGTGGGGCACAAAAAAGGTTGGGAACTAAACGCTTTGAATATACGGAATTGATACCTTTTTTGAAGTCGGTGAAAAACAAACTTGGCAATAAACTAGGTTAAGAATACAATGTGTAACTAGGACGTATGTAACTGTGACGAATCTTTAGTATTTTTTTGCTAAAACTAGTTATTATTAACGAATACATGTATAGAAGGAAACTATTGTGTGGAAACCACAATGTCTGTATAATGAAACTAGTGGTTTGTGTCTTTGTGTTGGCGTAGTGGCTTGAACGTGCAACTCTAAACGTCACCAAGCGACGTTTCTTTCTTCATTTTTATCCATTACATAAACATAAGTTCCTTTAAAATACTATACTTTACAAACTAATAACAGTTATCAAAAAAAAAACAATTGTAAATAATTTCTACACGTGTCTATTAAAGGTTAGGGCTATTAATTTAATACTAGCAGTACCATCAATGTACCAGCCTATGAATTTTTTAGCCCACCAAATATGTGCGTTTAACACTTGATCATACAATGAAGTAAAACATCACCAGGTAACCAGCACGCCACGGACCACAGCGATGGATAGTGTCAGACAAAAAAAAGTGAGTGCGTAGTGCGTACAAAGTACACATGTCAGAAGTGAAACATCATTGGCAAACTAATTTTTAAGTCTTGTTCATATTTATGAAAATCTTAAACAGTCAAAAAGTCATTTGAGATTTCAATTAATTATTTTGCATAAAATAAATAATAATACTAATATTTCATAAATTCTCTTTACGAAATTTTCATTTTAAAATATATCATATTTCTATAAGGTAGTTCGCCCTTCTCACTCTCTCTCAATCGGTCTCAATCGCTCTCTCCCGTTTCTTCGACAAAAACGCTGTACATCTTCGTGACGGTAATATTATTATTATTGCGTTTCATCCGTAAAAAATTTACCCTCACGCGCCTAAAGAAGTTTCACTTCAAAAAATATCACTAAACAGTAACAACATTTGAGTCATAAATTTGTGCCAATTTTTGTCTAGGCTTTGTGCGCCCCGTAGTTTTTTTTAAATAACGGAAGCATAACAATAGCTATACAAAATTACTCATGATATTAGTGGAAAAACATACAACATATATATTTTTACAAATGGGTTTTCATGATAACAAGTTCGTCACCGTCATAGATAAGGGGAAGTTTGTTATTGTTAATCGATATTATTGGAAGTGATATGTCGGTGACTCTAAGGTCGTGAGTTCGAACCCCACTGGGCAATGGATTTTCTATCACTTGTTTTTACGGTGAAGGAAAACAGCTCGTCCAAGATTCAAGCAGAATGTGTCTGGCATGATCTTGTTTTTAAAGAAAAGTAATCAAGGAACACTAGATACTTCGATTTCGACTTTAATTTTATCTATATTGTTTCGTTTTATTTATATTTCGTCTATATATAATTTTTCCTAACACAAGAAAATTTTTGGTTTTAACATATTCCGGTTTTCTGATGTCGTTCGCGTTGTTAATTGTGCATGCAGAAATAATAATTGGACTTGATATTTCAAGGGAGTAATTGACAAAACAATCTTTTCCCCAGAATGTGGGTAGAAAACGTATATGGAGAATTTTATCCATTAGAGTAAAAATGATGAAATTAACAAACAAATTTGAATATTTGTTTTATAATTTTACACTTATTAAAATTCTACCTTCGATTCTGACATAAAAATATTATATCGAAACTAATCTACAATATTATTTCGGAGGTATTGACAAAATTATTAGATTTTTGTGTAATGTAAATACGTCTTTAACGCTTTGAGTCAAGATGTACTTGTACCTAATCATTTGAAGGTATCCCAATTTGACGGTTAGGGTGACCCCTTTGTTCCGATAAATATAAACGTTTCCCCTTTTTA